CTGAACGCAGTCCTAGTGTATGCAACTGCCCCCAAAATAAAAGGTTATCTCACATTGGTTGTACAAATGCCTGTTAATAACACTCCTCTTAAAGGGTGTGTATACTCTTTCTAGACTTGCAGGAGAAATAACAGTTTTCCAGAATAGGGGTATTTTTTTCCTAGAGGAAGCCTTTGAGATGTGACCTGAATGTGTCTCAGGAAAAGAGTACACTAAATTCTTCTGCAGTACACCTATGATGTCTTTGTTTGTTTTGTTCTGAGTGCCCTATTCATCTTTGAATGCAAAGTGCAGAAATGCTAGAAATACCAAATGTCACGTAGGCTTCTCTTCAGGCTTTCCCATCTTTCATTTCAAAGGCATATGTCCAAATTAACCTTTTGGAGTGATGCAGCGATAGCTGTTACTTCTCCACATGCATGTCCCGGATCAGTTACATGCTGAGTAGCATCACCCTTTGGCTGATTGGAATTGGGGTTCATTAAATAAGTCATGACTGCAGGAGTCAGCAGGCTGGCCTGTGGTGCTCTTAAAAGAAAGAGCAAGCAAGCAAAGTTCTCAAGTGCTAAAAATCCACAGGCACTTGGTCCTTTTTATGAGATGTCAGTCGAGGTAATCTAAAACCAAACTTCACTTCCAGAAAATATGGAAAGCTTAAATTTAATTTGAATGTTAGAAGAAAAAGAAAAGAGATGCTGACTTCATATTTCTGCTTATGGAAATAATTGGATTCTTAGTTTGTGGATTCATTATGCTCAATATTTGAGGTGCATATTGTCTGACCTTCACAGTACTTTGCAATTACGCTATAGTGAAATGTATTGTGTCGCATAATGAATTTTACTATCTGCTGGACACAGAGGTCTTAAACAGCCTCCAAAATGGATTTGGACATGGTACTTCTGTTCAAAACTCCTGTTTCTAATATCACATGCACATTGTGTGCCCTTAGGATGTTTCCTGTGCATGAATGCACAAGTTCTCCAAATTTTTATTTATTATGGGCTTCTATTCTGCTTTGTGCTTTTACACACTGTATAATTTTGCTTCTTTATCTATTTCTTTAATGTTTCTGAATGCTTTGACTATTTTTAGCATTACAGGGGAAGATTATATTGTATTGGTGAAGAATCGTGTAGTTGCAGTAAAAGTAAATGTTACTAAATATTTCTTGCTGTTTCTCTGTCGTTTTAAACAGATGATTCACAATTATATGGAGCACTTGGAAAGAACCAAACTTCATCAGCTAACAGGGGGTGATCAGCTAGAATCCACAACACACAGTAGAATTAGGTAAGCTATTTATTACGCTCTCACCCTGAAATGAAAGAAAAAAAATCCATTCATTTGTGTTTGCAAGACTTTGTTCTTTAATCCTACAACAACAGTTCAGCTGAATCGGAAAGATTTGTTGTATGATTGGAATGCAGTAAGAGAATAGTGTAGAAATCAGTAGAAAGAGGCTTTTGCTGTTGTATTGCTAAACGTTGAGATATACTTTGTATGTTAGCCTTAAACAATTTCAGCTTTTTTTGAGTGTTTGAATTCAGGTAGGCAGGAAAAATGTCAGCAGCCATCCCAAAATTACTGGTATCTTGCCACGGCTTTGTGTACAGGTTGATGGAGGTATGTATGTGGTACCCATTTGTTCTATGGGCTCGATGTGAATATATTATGCAGATGTTGAAGCTTTCTAGCCTATGAACCTTGCGTGGAAGGAGGGGAGAACAGCTCCAGGGCTGGCTGTGTCTCTGCGTCGCTGCATAGATGCTGCGAGGAGCCCGGCAGCTCCCGGCGCGAGGGGGAGGAGAGCGGTGATGTCATTGCTCTGGAGCTGCTGCAGAAGAGTGGAAAGCTGCTGCTGATGGCATTGTTTTTGTGGCAGTGGCTGAATGACAGACTTTGCCTACAAAGATACACCCTCGGCCCCTGTGTAGCCTTCTTGGTTCCGGCGTTTCACCATGCCAGCGCAGCGCCATGAATCCTGGATGCATGCTGCTATTTGTGTTTGGCTTCGTTGGCGGGGCGGTGGTCATTAACTCGGCTATCTTGGTGTCGCTCTCGGTTTTGCTGCTTGTGCACTTTTCTATTTCTACTGGTGTGCCGGCTCTGACGCAGAACCTACCACGGATACTCAGGTACTCTGACCTACTGAACCTTGGCTTTGTGCACTCTTTCCTCTTCTCTTTCTGTTTTCCTTTCAAACAGAAAGAGCAAGGCTAAATCAGAGATGTGAATTATGTTTACAGAAGAATTTGAAATTTATACATAATATTCATGGACTGTGATATGGCAATATTTTTTTTTATACACTTAAATTTCATTGCCTTGTATTTAAGCAAGTACAGGGTCAGTGTATGGGTTGGTTTGTTTGTTGAAAGCTATTACATTGGTTTATTGTAACCTGCAAAAAAAGCTGTGATGATAATATCATGGATAAAGCTCACATTAGTGTATTGTCAGGTACTTGGCTGATCTTGTGTAGCCATAAATGTATGCAGTCTGAGGCTTTGTACTATTAAATTCCACTTTTTTAAATCAAAAGAATTATATAAGATCAGTTAACTGATGATCTGCTCAAAACCACAGTAATTAGTTGATCACGTTATTTTTTAAAAAAAATCTGATTATTGGTTGGTGGGAAAAAAAATCTTTCATTATTTAAGCATTAGAGCTCTTAAAGCCTATTCACTATTGTTCAGCCAAATGTTATCCTCTCCTCTTTTTTCTGTACTCGTATGGCAAGCTGCCAACTCTGTCCCCCTCAAGTTATGTTCTGTTTGTCCTAGTTGCCTGGAGCAGTAGCAGAGATGCATTAGAATATTGTGACCAAAAGTAATCTTGACACGTTTTAGTGCTATAATTACAAATTACAAAACAGTTGGAAAAGTTTTAAAATGTAGCTTTCTGACCTGAAAACTTGACATACTTTAACTATGGTTGTAAATTGAATAGTAAACTATATTTAAGGAAGGAAAAATGCTGGAAATAGTGTTCCCTGAAAGAGACATGTGACTTGTTCTCCTTAATACATGGTGCATGTAGACTTTGTATGGTGGTACGCTTTTAACTTGTGTCTCTGAGCACAGAAGGGTTGTTCCAAAGATTTAAAGCCAATTGATAGATAAAAGAAATGCCAATAATTAATAACAATGATAATCAGTATATGTGTGTGAATACTTAAATACAAAGAAATAAAATGAAGTGTAACTCTCTATAGACTGATCTAGTTAGTAAGGCTGCCCTTGTTTAAAAGGAGGGAAAAATCAAACCCCAACCAAATAATCCCCAACTCTTGGGGGGGGGTGGGGGGGGGGGGGGGGAACAAAAACCACACAAAAACCCCCCAAAAAATCCCCCCCCAAACCAACAAACAACCCACACCAAAGCAAAATATTGAACTTGGTGTTCAATAACTTTATTAGACTTTTCGTATTTAAGCAGTGAGGTGGTTTAAGAAATAGGGGGTTTTTTGTAATGTGCTTTTGCTTCCCTGGGGAATATTTGATGGGTTTGAGGGATTTTGGGAGGCTATGCTTTTTCCTGCCCCTAGTAATTTGTTGATTTAGGAATTACAGGAATTGGAACTCGGTTTGTTAATCTTTTATCCATTTAAAAAAGATGAAATTATAGGATGAAGGAATCTAACTGTAGAAGAATTGTTTCTATTTTTTAACACTAGTCGGATTTTAGGCAAGAGCTTCTGGTTGCTTATCCTAAAGGTTCCTGTAAATGCTTCAACACATCACTTTAGAATATTAGTTTAGGTTTTTAAAACATGTGCCTACCTTCTGCTCCCTGACATATTTTCAGACATTTCTTGGACATTGAGGGAGTAGGAGTTCTTTGCTTTCTGGTCAACAACCAGTATAATAAGTTGAAATTGCTTCAGTCTAATCAGTTTCTTTTAATGCAGACATGCATGTGACAGCCTTTGTTTCCAAAATAAGCCCCTTTTCAACCTTCATTTACTGCGAGGTATTGCAGTGCACCTGAACTGTGTTTTAGCGCCTCAAAACGGGCTCGTTATAAAATTTATTTAAAACTATTCTGAAAAAAAGCAAATGTCAGTTGAGAAATTTTTTGGTATCTCTTTTTGTTTAAATTCTCTCTTCTGAAGACTCGAAGAAGATAAGCATTGTAGCGTATCCTGCAAGTAGGCAAATCTGCCTGCTCTGAGCCATTGCTCCAGGAGGCGTTTTCCAAAGCGAAGGGCGCTTCACAATGCACGCTTTATCGCCGCTTGCTTTGCCCCTGAAGGGCAGCTTTTTTCCTTTTTTTTCTGCTGCTGGACTTCCTAACCAATGAAATGGGCTCAGCCTGTCTTTTAACATAATCTAAGCTTATGTGGTGTGTCTTTTGTTCCCCACAGCATTGGAGTTGTGGGAAATCTAAAGAAAAGCAGAACCTGTTACAATAGCGAGGATCGTTGGAATCAAATTCTCTTTAGTTCTGGGGCCATTTTTCACAAAGACTTTTCAGCTCAGTTGGTTTGCAGGTGCTGGAACAGTATCTGATGCTTTTTATTTTGTAACCCTGGCTAATTTTGCTTTACTTGCTTTGCCTACTTTACTCTGCTAAACTACTCCCGAATTAATAATGTAGCTTGGAATAATATTTATGAAGGGCCGAGATACGTGCAATGTGAGAATTAGTTGCAAAGATTTTTTTTTTGTGACGGGAAGTGGTTTTTGTACACCTGTACTGGAAAGGTTATGCCAATTAAAATTGTTTACTATTTGAGCATTGGGGTTTTTTGGTGATGTAACACTTACCAAAAGGAGTTTGCTACTTAATTGCTAAATACATGCCCTTCTTGCCTACCTTTTCTAAGTAAACAAAACAAATTTGTAAAAGTGCTTAGCTTTCGCTTTTCAGCATGCCCTTTCATATTTTTGCTTATAACTTATATGCAGATACTAATTCTGCACGGAATTCTGCCTAGGTTACATTTAATTTGTGAGAAGCCTTGCAAAAGAAACTACATGTGGTTGTGATTTGACTTTTTATAATGCTAAAATGTGAGATCTCTCAAATCTTAATATTTTGTCTGGATTGTCTCTGCAGGGATACTTGCAGGCAATACTTTCTCTCAAGAAGCGTATTTTTCTGCCATCACTTGTGCACACTTTTATCTTCTGTCTGCAGTATACTTAAAGCTGTGCTAGTTGATTACAGTCCTTTTTTCTGTATTTCATTGTTCTGACTGAACAAATGCTTTGCTTTATCTCAATTCTATGCCTGGCTGATATTTTTCCTTTTCAGGGCTGGCTGTAGCATCCTATGAGTTGCATTCTGCACGATGTTTTTGTCTCTTGCTAGCAGGAAGAATTGGTCTTTTTGTTCACCGATCACATTACTGACAGCAAGATTGACTCGAGGATTTTTTTTTTAATGTGAATCTTTGGAATTTCCAAACATTGTTTGCCATAGAGAAGTGATAAAGACAGCAGAGATGGTGAAGAGTTGGGATGAAGTCATTTGCCTTACTGGCACAAGCTTTTGTGCAGATTTAGGGTGAAGTAGAGTGAAATGATCTTGGTTAAGACTATGCAGTTTTTGGCTGGGCTAGTTTTAACATCGGTAATTCCTTGACCCAGGTTTTTTCAGTTACACGAATATGTCTAATTCCTGTGATCTTCAGAAGAAAAAATACCATAAATTTTGAGAAGAGTTGGACTTTAAGCTGATTTGTTTATAACTTTCCCAAATGCTTCAGTTAATGATTTAGCTGTTGGCTGTTGTGGAAGTTATGTGGTACTGTATCTTGCAAAAAAAAAAAAGGTATTTTTGAGAGTGGTTGCTGAAAACTGAAATTTAAAATGTAATAAGGAGACATTTTCATCATGCTGCTCCTGTTTGTTCCATTTGTGTAAAACTTGTTTACTATAGATTAGCTTTGGTGCAATCAATAACTGCTGCCTAAAGCCATGAAATAGACTATTTGCAATTAAATAATGTGAAATGAGGAATTATGTGCTGTAATACAAACTGTGTGTGCTACATTGTATATTTAATAGAGCATAGTGTAGGAATGTTTGAGCCTATAATTTTACCACTTTACTGCTGATTTCAGAGGCATAGAGGAAAATAAATTGTGTGACATCTGAAATGGCTGATGAAACCCGTCTCTCTTTCCAACAGAAAGGAGCGTCCGATATCACTGGGCATCTTCCCATTACCTCCAGGAGATGCGCTACTCACGCCTGAAACTCAGAGAGAAGCGGGGGAAACGCCTGGGTCAGAGCACTGGAAATTCCACGAGCTAAGCCAGCCACGGTCCCACACAAGCCTAAAGGTGAGCACTCGGCTCAGCTGCCTGGTGTGTTAGGAGAAACTCCCATAAACAGGTTGTAGATCCTTAATGGGGAAAAAAACCATATTGAAGGGGAGGAGGGAAACCTCTAAATCATCTTTGTGTAAGCCAAGTATGTTGCTTTCTCAAATGAGCTTTAAGGGAACTTATTTACTGGAAGAAATGGAGTTTGGGTTGCGTTTTCTGAACGAGCGGTAATACAGGCTAGTTCTTCTCTTGCTCACAGAAGTGGGTTTTTCCTTTCTGACTAAGGACCCTTTCCAAAGGTCAGTCACTTGTTCTTTACGCACTGGATATGTAACTAGACAGTGTAAACAGGTCTGCTGGTTTAATATCCTTTTAGAAGGAAAGCTTTGCTTACTACACAGGCAATACTCTTACTGCAGCCTCTGCCTACTATCAGGCGTATAGCGTAGGTATACTGCAGAGTTGAGAATGACCTAACTTTCCTAAATTAGCCTGTGATTATGATTTCCCTTACATGTAGCTTGGCTATAATTCCTGCAATTGTTCTGTGTTCCAACAGTGAGAGGGTGGCGTAGAACAAGCTGCAGAATTGGAAAAATGGGGGTGTGGTGTTGGAGTGCGATGAATCTGGCAGTCAGGATGAGGGTGCACTAACAGCACAGTAAGAGGAGGGATCTGCAGGGTGAAGAACTCCAGAATGTGTAAAGCCTCCCTGTATCTTTATGATGAGGAGGTTTTTTGGAAGACTGGATGTACTGTTATTTCTGAAAGGCATACAGCTGAGAGGAATGGCCTCCTAAGTGAACTTAATGCCTAACAGGGGAATATCCAACTGATAAGAATTCAAAAGCTGTCCAGAAATAATTGGAACCCAGGCTTGGGGGTTTTTTTGCCTAGAGGTAATATGGAGATAATGGGAAGTGTAAGTAATGGTTAATTATAAACATATCAAAGCAACAACAGGACTTTGGATCTAAAAATTTGTCACTTAAACTCTTGGCTAGGACTGGTTTTGGACCTTAAATTTGTCCTATTACCTTTCTCCTTTGTCAATTAACATCAATAATTTGACAGACTTTAGGAGAGCTGACTGAAATGCAACTTAAAGGTATGACTAAGAGTAAGTGGAGATGAGATGTAAAGGGACGTCTCTGATCCCATCCTGTCTCCTCAGAAAATTGTACTAATTACTATATATTGTCAAAGTAGGTTTTTTGGTATAGTTCTTCTAAAAATAATGTGCTGCTAAAAGAGAATTTACAAAACAGCATAGACTGTAATTTTTCAAACCTAGTTAGTCAAAATAAGTTCCTTAGGTCCAAGGCAGCGTCTTTGCTTTTTAGCTGTGGATGTAAAGTATTTCTGAAGTGAACATGTTGAATTACATGATATATTGAAGTCATAACCAGAATTTGAAACATTTTTCTTTAGTGCTTTTATTTCCTGTAAATACTTTAAACATCAAGTACAAGGCACAAACAAGGTTCTGTTGCTTTCAGGCATCTCTTTTCCATTCGTGCATGAGCATTTCATTAATGGTCAGTGTTTCCTCTAAAAGTATCACAAAGAGGAGGTGTCAAGGAGAAACCCAGACTAAAAAGATGGGGTATCCTGTAGTGCCATTGCGGGGTGTCATTGTATGACAACATAGAATTATGTACCATTCATTCTCTTCTGCTTATTCCTGCAAAGTGTTGCAGATGCGCTGCTACTTCTTCAGATTTAATTATCTAATTTTGAAACTAATTTTTCTTTTTTCAGGAAAAGTCTTTTGGCAGCATTGCCATAAAAAGTCAAATTTGTGAAGTCAACCCAGCACTGACTTTCAAATGCTTAGGCTTTGAGATTAATTCTTTAATTAAATTAATTAATTTGAGAGTAATTCATTGTCACTGAATGGAATTCCATTTTATTTTCATGAGCTCTAGAACAAACATTCATGATAGCTTAATCAATATAGTTTCCAACAGCTAAAAAAATACAGTAAAGTCAGAAATATAAAATAGATGGTATTATTTAAAATTCCTTTAAGGAAAGGACAATTCTCTTCACTGTTTTCTCTGGTGCTATCAAGTTGTTTTTCTTGAGCTTTGTGTGTGAAAGTCAGTGATCAGTCTGTGCTGCATCAGTTAGTGGATGCTTTTGGAATACAAAGATGTAGAAATGTTTGAACAGAGCCAACAACTCTGGGGTTTTATTCCTTGTTTGTGTGAACTCTGGACTCCCTCTGTAAGGGCTACCATTTCCTTCCTTCTGTTTCTGCTTGCTGAAGTATGAATTGTTATCCAGCGGCTGAACTTCACCAATTCAAAAGACAATTGGGTCAATTGTGTAGTTTTTTTTCTTTAATGGCCGTAACGTATCTCATATAACACTTTCGTATGTGGGTTTTGCCTTGTATAACTGTGGGTAAGTGTGTATGTTTTATTCCTTTAGGGGTGTGTGTTAGTTGACTGTATTTTTGAATAATTTTGTCAGACTATCAAATATTAAAAATTGATTATTTTTGGATTTACTAAAAAATGATGAAAACTGGAAGTAATTCATAGGCAGGTCTTGAAAGTGCTGAATTTTCTTTCTAGGGCTTGCAAAATCCACATGGGGATGTCACTATAAGATGCAGGCTTTACATTTATGCTGATCTGGATAAATGTGTGTTTTCTTTCCTGCCACCACGAATTAAAATCTTATCTTTCCAGAAAGTTCCAAAAGTAAAAAATTAGAAGTTACAATTACTGATAATCTTACACTAAGTACAAATGAGAGACTATGTATCTATATGCAGGTCTGTCTTGTTTGGTTTTTTAAAATAACCTTAAAATTCAGTTTCACTTCCTTTGCCAAAAGGTGTACTAGCACTATGGTGAATTCATGTCTCTCAAAATCTAAGCTTGCTTCATTCTTGACAAGTTTTGGTTTCTTCAGCTAACAGATACATTCTCTTTAAATGTCACAGACTTGCCTAGGAGACATGCTTTCACATCTGCTTCCCAAAGAAAACCCTCAAAGAACTTTTTATCAAAACTTGCCATCCTGCCTTCATTTTGCACATACCAGCCTCAATGTTTCATCTAGATTTTTCCCAAGGAGATTCCTGTAACACTGCATGCTAGAAAATACTGACCTAAACAGACCGATTTGTTTTCATATCTGCAGTGATACCTTGTTTGTTGTTTCATTCTATTTAAGTCATAGTTAAGATGTCTGGGTGCTGGTATGGCTCTGGTCATGAAAGAGGAATGAAATATAAATGAAAGGAGACGCTGTCCAGAAAAGGGTTATTAGTATTATCAGATAGTAGCCTCTAGTTACATCAAATACAGTGCCCAATGCAGCCTTGTCTGGGTAATGATCATAATCCGGAGTCCAGAGGCTGGATTAATAGCTATACTTGTGGTTCCTGATATAGTGTTTCTGTAATGTAAAGTGTTGCCAGGAATTAGCTTCATTTATTGATGCTCCACAGTTGATCTGAAATCTAACCGGGCAAGTAGTTGCTGCAGTTCAGTGTCTCATTTCCAAGGTCTTCCAGGGCTTATAGTTGAGACTGGAAAGTGCATAAAAACAGTCTGAGCAAAGTACATGCAAATACTATGGTTTTATACCAGTTGAATCCATGTCTGCATCAGTGCTTCAATGTCTACTTTGTAAGAAGATTTTTTAAGATATTGTGCACATGTTGAACAGTTAAAATTTTTAGAATAGCTTTGGGAAGATTCAGCAATTCATTGTGCAGCTAGAACTATTAATAGGGGAATGCTGCCTGTTGTTTTGAAGACCTAACAGAAAAGCATCCTAAAGGTTGTGACTGTACTTTATCAACTGAGAGCAAGGATTAGTATTAAAAATAAGAGCATGTTTTATGTAGCTATAACCTCCCTAATAGAAGTGAAACCATAGCTATAGTCTAAAGATTAATTTGGCAGTACTGGCTTAAAGTATTCTTTCCGTTCCTGCTTATTTTCATATCCTTCAGTAAAATACAGTAATTTAGGTGTTTGTTCTTTAGTTTATATGCCTAGCTCTTCTAATAATACTTTTATTTGTGTTCATTTTTTTTAATGGTAACATTCAATTTTAGGATGAGCTCTCTGATGTCAGCCAAGCAGGCTCAAAATCTACTACTCCAGCATCCACAGCTGCTTCAGATGTACCTGTGCTGCCTGGTGAAACTCCTCAAAAGGAAGATGTTGAAGGACTTGCAAAGGGCACAGACATGCCGAATGAGAAGCTGGACGTAAGCAAGAACATTGAAGTACAGGTAGCTCAAGAGACAAGAAATGTGTCTACTGGTGAGCTGCTTTAACTTCTTAGTATATGCTTACTACGGAGCTTGTATTTAATCTGTTATGAAATTTCTTTAATTGTGCCACAAATCAGAAATGTTTTTTGACGTATTATTTTTAGCAATACAGAATATTGGTAAGAGATACAAGTCTGTTTATAAGTTAATTTAGTCCTTATTTTTCTAGAATCGGAGTTATTTATGACACTTCCTTGTAAACAGAAGAAGTGGCACTCATCTAGTCACAAGACGAAAGACCATCTACTTAGAGAAGTAGAAGACGTGGGGAATAACTATTGTTGGATGACTTACTTAAGTTAAATTCAGGAGAGACTTGTTTAGAAATTCAGGTGTCTGCACTAGAGTATCAAAATCCATAGGTCTTCTCATTGAATTGCCTTGATGATGCTTTGAACAGAAGTTTACTGAGTTGTTGATTAATTAGTAAGAACTACATGTAGTTAATGTCATATGTTGCAGTGATTTTGTTTATGGAGATGTACCACTTGCTTTTTCCCTAGGTGGAAATGAAAATGAAGAAAAATCTGAAGTTCAGGCAATCATTGAGTCAACTCCAGAGTTGGATATGGATAAAGATCTCAGTGGATATAAGGGTTCCAGGTAGGTTGTGTGTTGTGATTTGAGTAGGAAGAACAATTTTAGAAGGTACCAGACTTCAGTTTTGAACTCATGACTTGTTTAGAAATTTTACCAGACTGAGATCATGCATTATATAATAAATCTTCTACTCCTGTGACCTTACTTCCCCAAATTCCTTGGGAGGTTTTACGTGCAACAGCAGTTCTTCGTTCTGTTGCTACAACTGATGAACGTTCAGGGGACTTCATATTACAGCAGACTTAAGAATGCTTAAATATTCTTTCCATATTTCAAACAAAAGGTCTATACCAAGAGGCCTTTTCTCCCTAGATCTGGATTTCAAGGTAACTAGCACTTTCTAAGCTGGGACCTTGTGTTTTCACCTATGTCTTGAAAATCTGGACTTATGACTGACTGTGCCAGTGTTATAGCATTTCTTTATCAGATTCTGATGGTGGAATCCCAGTGTTGGCAGAATGCTTTTCCATGAGTCTGCTTCCTTGCAGGCTTTTGCTTGTGAAGGGTAACATTTCTTTCAAAAGCTGTAAAGCCCCATTAAAAAAATAAAGCATGGGGAGTGCCTGAGCTTTTAGGTAAGCCCTGAACAATTCAGGGTCTCACCATAAGTCCTTCAAATATGTTATATGTCTGTGTGTTTCATTCTTGTGATGAGATGGAAAAAAATACCTTGTATAGTGAACATCAGTGACACGAGATCTTTGTGTGAAAGGAGCCTCTTTTCTGGCCAGAGGAATATTTTGATTTCTGATGATTTGATTCTTTTGTACCCTTGCTGTATTAAATGACTTTCAGTTTGGCTGAGCTGTCTGTTCTTCAGGCATTTGAGCTGACTAAGTCCTGACAGGGCTGAATTTCTATATGCCAAAACTTGATACGCTTTAATTTATTAAAATACTGATCAGCTCAATATCAATAGCGACCTCAAATTTGGGATCTTGATGCTCAAGTAGAACTTGAAAACAGAATCTAGGACTGTAAGCCAACTGAATGCTTCTGAAAATTTTACTTCTGTTTTTTGGGATTTGGCATTTTTTGGGAGGGTGACAAATGAACTGCTGGTAAAAACATGGAGAAAACTTTTACTTCAATGTGGGAATGTTTTCTTTCTGCTTTTCTATGTCTTGTTTTAATTCTTTCAATAGCACTCCTACCAAAGGCATAGAGAACAAAGCATTTGACCGTAATACAGAGTCACTCTTTGAAGAGCTGTCATCTGCTGGTTCTGGCCTAATTGGAGATGTGGATGAAGGTGCAGATTTACTGGGTAAGAAAGGTTATTTAAAGAGGAATTTTCCTTGTTAGTGCAGTACTTAATTATCCTTGCTGGATTTATTGTTAGGATTCATTTGCATTAAAAACTTTTGAGTATCATCCTAAGGTGCTTATTAGGAATACAAAAACCAGGAGAAAGTATTTGCTCTTTCTTTCTTTCAATATGACAATATCACCCTTAATCTTTTGGGGCACTTCTTGCACTATTCTCTATTTCAGTTTTCCCTCTATGTTCTCTGACACAAAGATTTTTTTTTTTATATTGAACTAGTTTTAGGTAGTTTAATTCAGATTGTGCCCGATCTGTAATGGGCTGGCTTTATCACCTCTCTATGGAATTTAACATGTAAGAGAATTGCAGCAGAATGCAGTGGTGGTCATTTGAGAATCAAACCAGTAATGAAAAGGGGAAGGGGAACTCGCATTTCTCCTCTCCCTAAGCAGCTTGCTGCTGTTTGTGTGCTGACGGAACAAAATGTAGGTTCTGGGAATATGAGTTGAGCAGGAGCAGAAAGGTCATTAAAAGAAGGATCTTTCTCTGAACAATGAGTGCCTTATATTATAACAAGATATTTTTGGACATATCAATGTTCAGGCCTCATTTTGAAATAATGAAAGCTGGTACTATGGAATGTATAAAATGCAAATGCAACTTCTGTGTGTTTTAGGAATGCATTGTATATAGAAAATCATCAGTTTGCTTCTGTCGTCTGACCTGGCAGAAATACAGATTGTTAGCAGTATTATTGAGAACAGTTGTGTGTGCAATCTGGATTTCTGGTTGTTCAGTGTTCCACCTGAAACTTATTTTACATCAAGTAGGTGACATTTCTGCAAAGTATTACTCACTGGGAGTAATAGGCCTATCTCCAGTTTGAGATGGGTTTCCTTTGTTGTCGCTCTTTGCTGCTTTGAGTCCTGAGCAGTGAGAACCACCCCATCGCTGCCGGAACATACTTCATCCAAAACTCTTGCACTCTGTTCTCACAGGAACAACTAATGACGCATTCTGCATGCAAAAAATATAGATACTGGAGAAGAAGTATTAACGTGTAGCAACTTCCATCCCTTATCTACATGATAAATTGTTTAAAGAAATCAAATTACTGTCAGGACTTCGTGATAATAGGTGCTTTGCTTTCCGTGGGCAAAAATAATATACTTTTTAGTATAACATATCAAAAGTTCGTCACTGACTTCATTACTATTTTCCATAGAACTATGGCTGTAAACACTGATGTGTGCAAAATAAACACGTTGTTACAACTGCATTTGTTATGCAGAATGTGTTGGTCTAGAAGTTTTACTATATAATCACCATTTCATTTTGAGCGCAACCATACTCCAAATTACTCTGTTATTTAAAAGCCACATCTGCATCCAGGGTAGTCAGTGTTTTTCAAGCGTTTGGATCTGTTCTAAATGACCGTTAAACTTTAGTTTGGAGTTCTGTAAAAGTAGTTAATTGGGATTCTCTAATCTGTTTTCTCTTGGGCTGCATACCCAGGGGAATATTCTGGTGTGTATGCTTCTTTTTTTAAAAAAATTCTTTGAAATCTGTTGCTTCTACAGTTAGGCGTTCTTGGCTGCTGCTCTCATAAAATACATTCTCTGCATTTTTTTCCCTGCTTGGTAACATTTTTTTTTGCCTTTGCACTCTGGCTTTCTAGTTTTCGTTCTTGCATTATAAAGGATCTGAAACCTGTTGGAAGTGATCCTAGGTACTTTTATCTGTGAATATTGAAAACTTTTAAAAAGCAATAGTCACTTGAATAAAACCTCATGATGACCGTAGTGTGGGGGGATTTCTCTAGATATTGATAAAATAACAATACCTGATCTAAATTCCTTCACTATTACATGTCATTTACTTTTAATCCAAAACCCAGAGAGACAAATTCCTGAAGAGGGAGCTTTGACTTGCATGTCTATTTTTAGATACCTTTTTTCATTGTTATCCAAATATCTTTTTAAGTCTCCTGTTACCAGAGTTGCTTAGAAGATTGTGTTCATGAAGTATTTTAAAAGGCCTCCACCACTAAGATACCAGTTTCCTTTGTTGTGTTAATCTTGGATTAGCATAACTTCTGCCATAGCAGTGTGCTAATTATTTTGCCATGCAAGATGTAAGACAACTATTTTCTGCCTGAAAGTTTTATCTTTTTACAAATCTGCAAATCATACTATTTTAGACATGCAAACAATAGGGTGAGAAATTAATTTCCAGAAATGTAAATAACATTGAAGTAGTTACATAAAGAGTTAAGTTCACTGTTTTCCATAGTAGTATATTAATTTTAAACATTTACTGAATGGCTTAGCATTTCTTCCAAGTACTATGCATCTAAATTATTTCACAGAAAATGAGATAGACTTTTATTTATTAAGTTACTGATTTTTGTAAGAGGTCTAACTAGTAGAAATGGTTGTGACAACTTCTTTAACATCTGTCTTTCATACAAATCCTGCTTCTAATCACATCACATTCCACTTCAAATTTTTGGTGGTGGCTTTGTTTTAATTCACTCTTACTTCATAAGTCTAAATATTTTATTGCTCTTCACTCATACTACACCTTACATGAAATGTTTCTTGTTCTTGTTTTTGCTCTACATGGAATGCATGGGCTTTAAAGACCATAATTTCTTTGGTAAGGTATTGTTTGCTCTGGGGAGATCTGCAGGGCTTTTGCAATTTGAGCTTTATAATTCAGCATGTCTTGTGTCTATAACTGATGTACCTTTGCATCTAACATGGTATAAAAAACAGCTGAGGTTTTTAAACTTAACTTTTTGTGGACTAATACTTCCCCAGTGATGCCATGTTTGGTTTTTGACTTAGTAGTAATGTAACGTCTTCAAAATTTATAGACTGGGCGGAGGTAGAACTAGTCTATGGTTAGCCAGGCTTGCCTTTAGGCTTTAACTGAAGGCAGATTGGGAAGAAGGTGGAGGGGAAAGCTAATTGTAGAAGGTAGGTCCTGAAACTTCAGCTAGCTCACAGGTTTTCTGACAAGTTTGTCATACTTAAAAGTCAACTGGTTTTAGACAATGGCTAAACATAGGTTTTGTAAAAATATCCATTTCATGGGCTAATTTCAACTATATGTTTCCTTTGGAAAGGAATGGGTCGTGAGGTTGAAAACCTTATTTTGGAAAACACTCAGCTGTTGGAGACAAAGTAAGTGAGAATGTGAATATAAAACCCACTGACCTTCTCTATTTTATGTCTTCAAATCTTCATATACTGAAAGCTGAAATTGTACAAATGTGCTTCTAGTTCAGAGTAGTGTTGGTATAAGTATTTTGAATCTGTAGGTATAGTTGGCTAAATGTATAGCTTAGTTGGTATTCTTCTAGAAATTAGGGACCTAAGAAGCAAAAGCTGCTTTTATCCTTGTAAGGCTACAAGAAATGCAGTGCTGTGTCCTAATGAGATCAACTCCCTGCCTTTTCTGTTAGAAATACAGCTGTAACTGCAGAAGCTAATACTTTGGAGTACTGCTGAGGAATTCAACCTCTAAGCAAACTGTTCTGATTTATCAGTATTTTCTCTAATACAGGGGTGTGAATGTGTTTGAGCATTTGAGATTTGGGGGTGGGGGGGAGAGGGCTTAACCTGATTTAGAAAGCTCTATCTTTTTACAGCAGTTCTATGTAAGAAAAGAATATTCAAGAATAAAATCAGGCTGAAGTTAAACTATGAGACCATAGTCATCTTTGTAATGGCGTATTTTAAATGTTTGTGTAGAAATGCACTGAATGTAGTGAAGAATGATTTGATAGCAAAGGTGGATGAATTGACCTGTGAGAAGGACGTACTACAAGGTGAATTAGAGGCTGTAAAACAAGCAAAACAAAAGCTTGAAGAGAAGAATAAGGAACTGGAAGAAGAGCTGAGAAAGTAAGTTTAATTCCATGTTTGTGAAAAAGAAAAAAACAAACCACCCACTGTGGTATCTAATGTAGCTATTTTTAATTTTGTATTTAGAGCTCGTGCAGAAGCAGAAGAAGCAAGACAGAAAGCTAAAGAGGATGATGATGTAGGTGTATGTGTGTATGTGTGTTTTTGTATGTATAATTCACAGCGGGACTTTAGAAGTTCACGTGAGTTAGTGCTACTAAACTTTACTGCTTAAGTAGTGGTAAACTTCCTCCATGTATAGGAAAAAAATAGAAGATCTAAAGAGTACAAGTAAACTTAAACAGACCACGTCTAGTTTTCTTTCTTTCCTCTCTGCCCATTATTGTGTATCACATTCTTTTGGAAGAAGTGGGTTTTTTATTCAGATGATACTACATACAAAGGATGGGAGGAGAGGAAGGTAAAATCGAGTTAGTTATACAAAGCCCCAAATGATTTGGAATCTGGAATTGTGCCCTAAACTGACTCTTATTGGAAGGCAGAGGCTGACTCTGCAAGGCCCTACTGTGCTCCTTTGTTTGTCCTATGTTTCCTTTTTGTGTGTTCAGAGTGATGTCCCCACCGCTCAGCGGAAGCGTTTTACTCGTGTTGAAATGGCCCGTGTTCTGATGGAAAGAAATCAGTATAAAGAGAGGTTGATGGAGCTTCAGGAAGCTGTCCGATGGACTGAGATGATAAGGTAAAAGGCTCTTTTAAAAATCTTTGACAGGGCTCCTTGCATTTTACAAGGTTTTGATTTTTAGCTGCAGAGTGATCTGGTCAGTAGTTTGAGGCCTTAATTGCCCATCTGCTTGTCTCCCCACATGCACACAAATAAACTTGTGTTAAAGTTATGTGTGTATAACATCTCGTGAAAATGGGTTCTTGCTGAGACCTCAGTGAAGATATGTTACTTCATGTGATGTGAAGTAAGCACCCCTTGAAGAAATGTGTGTATTTTGGAAGGGTTAAAAAGTTTGGTAATTGCAAATAACATTAATTTGGTGAGCAGGAAAAATTACTCTCCGTGTGTGCCCATACCTTAAAGCAGTGGGCCCAATTGTCAGCTGAGATGTCCAAACAGGAATAATGTACAGTCTTCAGATTGAGCATAATCCATTTGTAAGGACTTGAGTTGTTCAGGAAAAAACGCAATTTTAAAACTGTGCAACGTTTGTTAAATATAAGCAGTAAAGATGGTGATCTGGTCTAGCTTGCGTCCTGAATATTGAGCTGTCTGAGGGTGTGATTTTTAAAAGCAAAAGTCTTCTGCCTCGGAGCTCAGCCCAGCTCATTCTTGTTGCATCCCCCGAGCCGTGCCTGCGTCCAGAGGTAATGGTGTCATTCGGTGCTGCCTGCCCGTCACGTATGACAATGGCATTTAACGTTTTCATTGTCCTCAATACCTGTGAGCCATTTGGAGTCTGAGAGGAAAAATACATATTGCCAAGCAGACGTGGCTTGCTTTTCTATAGCTATTTCTCCTGTAGAAATCCTCTCCTCTCTCTGCATCTATGGCTTCAGAAATGATCACTTTTATCATTTATTTACAGATGTGTGGAAGAATAAGAGGCTTTAAAATAAAAGGCCATGGTTAAAATATTAAAAAACAGGAGGTGGAAGAATTTAAAATCATTTGCTGCTGTCTTCTGTCTGTTTCCATTGCGAAGTGTTAAACATTTGTCTCTTCTGTCTGAAAGCACTCACCAGTTGTGTTTGTGATGCAAGTAAATGTGGATGATGTTTATTATGGAACTTCAGTTCATCTAATGAGAATTTCAGTATTGTGCTCTGATCAGAAAAGAAGCAGCAATCTGAAGAAACAGGCTTTGATACTTTTGATATGTTATCCTGGGCTTTTTGAATGAGTTACACACTGTTCCATTCCTTTCCTTTTTTTAATTAATGCTTACTCAGTAAACTTGGAATTCATTTCTTGTAGAGCATCAAGAGAAAATCCAGCCATGCAAGAAAAGAAGAGATCAAGCATTTGGCAGTTGTAAGTATTGAAACACAACTCGCTGGCAAAAATAAATAAACGACCCTAACCAATTAGCTGGTACATTTTTGTATGTTAGCTAATTATCTTTTGGCAGATGAAGAGATCTTAACTGTTCTCCTCTTGTTATCTAGTGTGCCAGCTCGGTAAGACTGTTCTTGAAGACAAAATGTATCGTAAGCTGCATCACATAGTGAATGGCTGTGCACTTTGTGAAGTTAAATGCCAAAGTGCTGTAACTTTTTTTTTTTCTAGTTGAATATGCACCAGGACTCTTGTTCTGAACATTTTTCTGGATTCTTTTTTTATGATGAAAAATAGAAACTTGAATAACTTGTTTGGATTGCATTTATTTCAGCTTCCTTTCCCTCTATGAAGTACAGCTTACTGATTGTTAAATTTTCCTTTCTAACTTGAGGCTCTTTAAAACGGTGTTATTCACAACAAGATATTTGTCAAATAATCTTTTCGATGTGGTTTGACAATTATTCTGTGTGTTAGCCCAAAAAATGATGGAGTTTTTAAACTGCTCTGTGCATGAACTAATATGCTTCATAAAACTGTCTTCCAGGTCTGATGTTCGCAGCCTAATTTTGTTGGTTCCCTGTAAATTTTCATTCAAGATGAAGATCCCATTAAACTTGATAAACAAATGGGATAATAATTCTTTAAGAATTTTGCTTACTGACATGAGTTTCTGTGCTTTGAGAGTGTTGCTGAGTGTGTGGTGGCTGCTGCTATATTGGTCTCCAGTTTTTTAGTCTAACTGGCTTGAGCGGACTAGCATATGCAGTGTTTTGCCTGCATAGTCAAATTTTGGATGCATCTTACAAATCTTAACTCTCATCTTTTTTTTTTCTTCTAGTTTTAGCAGGCTCTTCAGTTCATCTAGCAATACCGCTAAGAAACCAGAACCTCCTGTCAATGTTAAATATAATGCTCCAACCTCACATATTACTCCATCAGTCAAGAAAAGAAGCAGCACCTTATCTCAGTTACCTAGTGACAAATCTAAAGCCTTTGAATTTCTCAGTGAAGAGTAAGACATTTTGGTTTTATAATACTAGATATGCTCTATTGAGTATTTACTCTTTTAATCCTCTGAGATAAATAGCATTGCTGCTAAGTGTTGTAGCTTAACCCGGCAGGCAGCTACAACCACCACACAGCTGATCACTCGCATTATACTGAAGTACAATGTTCTCCTGAAGTGAATGTTGATATATAAGAAATCAATATAGTGCAGACTGAAATGCGCAGCAGTGGATGAGTATCTGGGTACCTGACAGTAGTAGTCTGTTTGGCAAATATCGCTGCCTTTCATAAGAGTGCATTTAGGCACAGGAGGCAGCACTCAGTATGTTTTTGTATGCAAGAGTTGTAGCTAAGCAGTAACTGTACACATACTGTCACTGTAAATTCAATGGAAAGACAGAACAGTATGAGTCAGGCTAACAAATATCTGTAATTACTTTTTTCTCCTCTGCTTCTTTTTGGCAATATATCCTTTTGGTTTACAACTTTTAAAGCTTCTAGTAGAGGTACATAACTCAAGTTCATTTTCTTTAAGGATACTGACAATAGACTTTCTGGTTTTGCCTGTCTTTCACAAGTGCCTTAGAAATAGCCCACAGGAAACCTATTGTTCTATAGGTGATGTGTGGGAAAAACTAGGGATCTCTTTGGTAACCCAACGTTTCCACAGAGATCTTGTCTATTGAGTTTAATAGCAATTTTGATTACACAAATAATTCTAAAGAGCGTAAATAACAGGTTCTTTAATGATTCTTCCCTAGAACTGAAGCCAGTTTAGCCTCACGCAGAGAGCAGAAAAGAGAGCAGTATCGCCAAGTGAAGGCACATGTTCAGAAAGAGGATGGTAGAGTGCAAGCATTTGGCTGGAGTCTACCTCAGAAGTACAAACAGGTATCATGCTTATGTTTTCATATGTAGTGGTAACAACTCCATGTTTTGTGAAATTTGAACAGTGTATAATTTCACAGCTTGTGTTTGAGTGATTCCAGCATTTTTTTGTTGAACTTTTGCAGTTAAAAGACTCTTTCTAAGGAAAATCACAATACAAAACTCTTAGTCATGTTTAATAAAGTCTGATCAACTGATTCCAAAGACTGCAAACCTCTTTTGAAGGGGAAAGCTTTTCTGTTGTTTTTTTTGCCTAGGTAGCAAATGGTGGCCAGGGTGACAATAAGATGAAGAACTTGCCTGTACCTGTTTACCTGAGACCTTTAGATGAGAAGGATACCTCTATGAAGGTAGGATATTTACAGCCTTGACATAGAGAATGGGACAACCTATATTTTGAATATTTTTATTTTAGACCCAATTATTTTCTTTTTTAAATAAAGTTTCTTTTTAAAGCACAGGTGAATCAGAATTTAAGCTTCAGTAGAAATGTACATTAATCTTAATGAATTCCTTAAAATGAACTGCAGAGATACAATAATTTTGATTTAACAACATACTGAACAAAGGGTGTGTCTTTTTAGTTTAACGTTTAAGTGAAGTATGTATTTTTCTTTCAAGCTGTGGTGTGCTGTAGGAGTAAACCTATCAGGAGGGAAAACACGAGACGGCGGGTCTGTGGTTGGTGCTAGCGTATTCTACAATGATGTGACTGGTATGGATGCAGATGGCAACAAGCAGCAAACAGGATCTCAAAGTAGCTTAGACAGACTAGACCAAGAGCTCAAGGTAAGATCACATAAGGCATGGTGAATAACTTAAATAGTTGAACACCTTTACTCTGTAGATTAATAATATATTTTGTAATCAGGTTTATTGGTAACGAATAGATTTTTCTTGGGTAGTCATCAACCCAAGATATATTTGGGTTATTGAATCCATCTACAAAACTACTGTGATTCTTTCCTGTGTGCCAGCTTGTTGGCAAATCTGAGGAGCAAATCAATTTTATGTTGAAATGATTCACTGCTTATGCCAGTGCTGCCTGCTTTAAAAAACATTTGTGACAGAATTGTTCGTGTTCTGGCTGCCATTTAAATGGGTTTTTAGGTGTCTGTGCCATTGTCTAAAAAATGTGGTAGTCTTCATGATTTCATGAAGCAATGAATAGAATTCATATTAAGGGCATAGAATCAAAGGCTTAATTTTGAAGTGCTTTGGGACATCACATTAAGCTGTGGTGGTACTGAGTATGGTAGCTGGCACCTAAACAGTGTTCTTGTGTAGCTTTGTATTTGTCTAACTGTATAATTGTGAAATTACTTTCTATAGTTTTCTGCACAAGTATGAAGTATTAAGGGTTTTATATTCCAAATACATAGAGAACAAGTAAATACATGTAATTTTACAATGGCACTAAAGATATTTATGTATGTTTCTGTAGTTGATAATATGAGAACACACAAGATCAAAGGCTGTAGTTCTATTCTTGCCCACCTTCCTGTTGTTGTTCACCTCTGTTCTGCCTTTATTCTCCTTCAGGACCAGCAGAAGGAGCTGAAACATCAGGAAGAATTATCCAGTCTAGTGTGGATCTGCACTAGCACACATTCTGCTACAAAAGTTATCATTATTGATGCTAATCAACCAGGAAATATTCTGGACAGTTTCATTGTTTGCAATTCTCATGTGCTTTGTATTGCTAGTGTACCAGGTAAAGACTTGTGATATTTTAGCTCCTGCTTTTTTAACTGAATCTTATTCAGATTTTCTTACTCAAAGATGTGTCAATTAGTATGATAAAATAACATGTATCTTGAAAATAAGTAGCAAGTCTTGGAGCTTCCTGTAGAGGGAATCCTTGTTACATTGAGAGTGTATGTGGAGAGTGTACTGAGGGAGGTTTAATAGAAGGATCTTATGAACCCGCAGAAGAACTAATTGTGCTTTTGGCTTTCTTGTTTCTTGGCTTATAGACTTATAGAAGTCCGTAGCACTAGTTCCAGTGAAGCAGTTCTGTTTAATGAGCTCAGAAGAAATATCTTTCCGCTGAAGTTTGAGGTTTTACTCCACTGAAACTATGTACAACTTGTAAAATCAAAACAGTATAAAATATGGTAAAAGACAATAAAAATGTCAAGAAACCAAGAATATTTTAAGTCTTAAGGGTATTTGAGAGGGTTGTAGGAGAGAAAAGCAGCTTTTCTTCCAGAACAAAAGATCTATTGCAGTTAAAATCTTCATAAAGACGTGGATAGGTATCCCTGCATATAGGCACTGTCAAAAAATCTAATTTTAATGGAAAATGTATTTGAAATAGAAATAAACTAGTTGGAAAACTCTGCAGATTTTAAATACAGCTTATGACATTCAGATGTGCAGCATGTGTAGATGTTGCTTTTGCTTTTTGAGTTTTGTGACAGCATCTGTAATGTCTGCTGATCATGTTAAAATAAGCTTGTAGATAGGTACCTGCATGTTAAATCTCAGTTGCTGGAGAGTTCGTTCAGTTTGAAAGCGTAGCTTGTTATTAGGTAAAAAAGTGATTTCCCTTCGTGCCCACAAGAAACATGCGAGTTTAATCTCTTTCAGGGGCAAGGGAAACAGACTATCCTGCAGGAGAAGAAGGGTCTCAAGAAGCAGATCCCAGCCAAGTGGACAAATCATCTCTGTGTGGAAGTATGACTAGCAACAGCTCTGCAGAAACAGATAGCTTGCTAGGAGGAATAACAGTGGTTGGCTGTACTGCTGAGGGTATCACAGGAGCACCTGTAGCTCACGATGCAAATGGTGGCTCGCCAATGACAGATAAACAGTCAGGTACGACAGTCCTACAAGTATGCCAGGGATGGCCAAACACCATTAGGTATAACTGAGAAATGAATGGTGCAAATATTTAATGTAATAGTTTGTCTGTAAGCAATGATAACACACAAGTACTCTGTGGGAAATGGCCCATCAGTCTGACGTAACTTGCACTGTAATTGTAGCTGGAAACTTTGTGGAGGTGACATTAAACGGGCATAGGCAATTGCTTCTTTCAAAGAAGAGAACTCTATCTTGTGCACAATGTAGAGAGAGCTTTTAAGTTACTCAGTATTTGAAATGCAGACCTTACTGACAGATGATAGAATGTGAGTATATGCCTTAAATCTTGTAAAGCTGTAATAGAGATTTAAGTGAAGCTGTTTACTTTGTAGGCATTCTTAATATTTTCTGTCATATACCTTTCAGAGCTGTATGGTGATATGATTGTTAATGGATATGTGTTTATTGGACTTGAACGCCATTTCTTTTCTTATGGCATGTAATACTGTTGCCAGAGTTTGTAATTGATTGGATTTCACTACTATTCTAGTTAATCACTTAAAGGGCAATCTGTGCCATCAGTCACTGGACTGATACTTAAAATGCATTTGACACTTGTTGATACACAAACTTTAGTGGGTTGCACTGTTTCAGATCTGATTTTTTTTTTATTTTTTTAAGATGAGATATAAAATCTGGATTGTGACTGGTTATTACACTTGTTCACTTAGTATCAAGTTCTGGCTGTTTTAAACAAATGAGAATTCTCTTGCAATTGTTAAAAGTTCTTGAATTTTTTTGTTCCATAGATACTGCAACTGAAAGTAATTCAGTAGATGAGAACATTCCAACAGCAGAAGAGGCAACAGAAGCAACAGAAGTTAATGCAGGGACAGGAGAAGACTCAGCTGATATTGCACAAACTGGAGTCTACACGGAGCATGTCTTTACAGATCCTCTGGGAGTGCAGAATACAACAGAGGCATCTCCAGTGTACCAGCCTAGGTACATAGTCCTCATACTTCTTAAAATGTGCTTAAAAAGAAAAACATAATGTTTGCAGGAACACAACGTGGGGACAGAATAACTACTTTTTTCTTAAGTATGTTGAGGTTTATATAAGTAGTCTTGGTACCAGATACTCTATGCTTTGCTTGTGTGAAAGGTTCACCTATGTACAAAGAGGTTTTTTTGTCTGTGAACTTGTATGCCTTGAGTTCAGACACCGCCAGAATGGGTTGAGATAAAGGCAATTTAATAAGACAGAAAAGGAAGAACATAGTAATAATGATAAAAATGTACAAAAGAAACGATGAACAGCACAATTTCTCACCACCCAAAGCTGATGCTCAACAAGTTCCTGAGCCGCCCTGTGTCCCGGCCCACCCCCCAGTTATATATGGAACATGACATCATATGGTATAGAATATCCCTTTGGCCAGTCTGAGTCAGCTGTCCTGGCCGTGCACCCCCGCCTTCTGGCAGGGCAGCGTGAGAAGCTGAAAAGTTCTTGACTGCTTGGCCACAACTAAAAACATCAGTGTGTTACCAACATTGTTCTCATCCTAAATCCAAAACACAGGACTATACCCACTGCTAGGAAGAAAACTATCTGTGCTGAAACCAAGACAGTGGTGCTGATCTAGACATGCCCATTTCAATTCCCTGTTTGATGTCAAAATAAATAAAAATTACACTCCTTTCTTCCAATCAACTGGTTGTTCAAATGTATGTTTCTTTTCTCAGAATAGTCAATCTGTGAGTAGTTAGAGGAGTGGAGAAGAAGCTTGAAAGTAATCAGTAATTCAAATCTTCAGGAATCTTCACTCTCCGCATACAGGCGCAAAAGTATTATACAACTTTTTTATAAGTGTTTCTCTTAACGTGTGTCTGATGTTGTGACTCTCTTCCACCATTTCCCACAGATATTGGCAATACTGACAGGCTTGAATGGAACCTAAATTTCCTGGTATAAGTAAATGGCCACTTGAAAACCTCAATAACAATGAATTTCATCATCTGTATCGTACTTTCATGCACAGTTGTTTTTTTTTAAATACCTTATGTACTTCAAAAGCCAGTGTAGAAACTAGCAGCAATTAAGTAAATACCTAGGCTATAATCTGAGTAATCTGTGCACTTTATTCAATGTATTTTAACTGTTGGTTTGGGTTTTTTTTAGTACTGAGTCAGAGTTATATAAAGACGTTGCGGTTTTGCCAAATGAGCAAGATTTAGTTAGAGAAGAAGCACAGAAAATGAGTAGCCTTTTACCGACAATGTGGCTTGGAGCACAGAATGGATGGTAAGAAAATGCTAATCTTGTTAAATTTATTTGGAAAAAAATATTTTAAACATGCTTCTTGTGCCCACAGGCCTGATAACTCTCTTGAGTCAAGATAAAGTGCAAGAAGGCCTCAAGAGAGCCTAAACTTTGTATGCTTTGCTACATTTAGGCATTACAGAACTCAAAGAAAGTATCATAGTTGATTAGCAAGTTCTCTTTGATGGATAACACTTATTTGTGGAAAGTTTTGGTTGGGGTTTTTTTCGTAGTCGAAGGAATTGTTGTGGTCTGGTAATTCCATAACTTTCAATATTTTACTATGCTAGAAAAATATATTGCCCTTTTTACTGCAGATGTATCTGCAAAGGAGTTGGTAATGTTTTTAGCGCTCTGAAAAAACATTCTGCCTGCTCGTGTAGTTCGTTCTTTCAATCTATACATAAGTTTTCATCTTCCACTGAAAACTATTTTCCCTTTGGTGGTGGATTTCAATTATAGGGGTTTTGTTTGGGTTTTTTCCTGGCTGGTAGACCTTTCCTAGTGCTTTTAATCCCTCCTGATTTGTCTTTGCAGCTTGTATGTTCATTCGTCAGTGGCCCAGTGGAGGAAATGTGTTCATGCCATTAAACTTAAAGATTCTATTCTCAGTATTGTGTAAGTCCTGAAAGAAAATCATGTAAATAACAATGTTTGTTAAAATACTTGCAAAGTAATTTTATATTTTGTCCTCAGATGTTGGGAATGTCAGTTCCCATAAATGCGTGTATAGCCTTTGAGGGGCAGTGGAAATAATTTGGGATGTAAGGAAAATACAAGCGACCTTTTGATAGTGTATCAATAGTATCTGTTGAAGATACTATAGCTCAAATGATGAGCTGTAGCTATATACTCAAAACAGTTATAGGTTGTTATCCTTGATGTTTTCTTCAGGCATTGTAGATAGCTGTATTTTAAGCTTTCTCAACTGGATTTTGACCCCTTGTTACTGTCCCTTCTCTTGAGCTATATTGTAGAAATCGAAATACTAGGGCTAATGTGAATATAAAAATATGCTGAAATACAAAATGTTTCTACCTTACTTTAAACTTGCATTTTGAGAAATGCAGTCTAACGGTATATATTCTCCTGCCTCCTTTATTTTCACAGACATGTAAAAGGAATAGTATTAGTTGCACTAGCTGATGGAACACTAGCAATATTTCACCGAGGAGTTGGTAAGCATTCTATTAGGTCTTGAAACCAGTGAAGCTGTAACAGTGTTTAGGGAAGAAATGTGCCATTTATAAATAGTGTTTTGAAAATGTATTCCCCAATGGCCTTTTCATAGGTTGCCTTGAGAAATCTCTCTGGTATTTCAGTTGCAGTTTCAGGTACCATTTTTGCACTGTCCTGATGCGTTCCTGGAATGTTTTTTCTTAATCTGAGAAGAAGAATGGGTTATGTCTGAGCTAAGTAGCAAAAAGCTAGTTGATAAAGTCCACTTGGATCATCATCTCTTTTGCTCTTTCATCATGCTCGATAGTTAAGCTTCTGTTTTGTTATTAGTGTTAATAACTGTCTGTGGTGAAATCCTTCAATGAGAATTTTGTAAGTGTCCCTTCAGAATTTCTACCCAAACCAGTCCTGGGACAAGCTCCGTTCTTCAGCCTCCAGAATAAGGACCTGGAGGGAAAGGTCTTACTATGAGTAGCCAGAACTTACCTGTTAGCTTATTTCCACAGAATCCCTATTCATTTATTTTTTCTTCGTGCAGTTTTAAATCCCTGTGCTCAACATTTAGAAGAATTAAAGAGGTTGCACAGCACTAATGCAGATATTGGGATGAAGTTATGTTTTTAGTGTTCTTTATTTTTATTTTTTTAACTCACTCTAGTGGCTTACAGTCCTTAAGGATCTTGAGTAAATGTCAGTGATGATCGGTAGCTTAGCTCAGTCCACAGAAGAATTTTCCTTGGTGTCGAATGACCCAATTTAGTATGCTTTTAGTAGATTTCAGGTGCCACTCCTAAGATCTTGCAGCATGCTTAAAAAAATCTTGATGCACTGGCCAACATTTCTACGTTCGATCAAGCAGCAAGTGCCTAGCGCTGTGTGGGTAGTTGCTTATTGTAATGTATACTGATGCCTAGCCAAGTAAACCAGTTAGCACTAGGTAATTGCTGTTTTTAAAAATGTTTTCATGTGTTTTGAACATGAGTCAGTGTACAACCTTGTTATATAAAAACAAAGTACTGTTTGGGATGTTGGTAGTTCATATAACTAGTTGCATTTTTTTTTTAATGAGGACCCTAGCCATAAATTTATATTAACTTTTCCAGATTGTTACAGTGCTTTTAAAAAAAATAGACTGTTAAGATACTTGCCTGTACTTTTCAATGATTTTTAAACTCATAGGAACCTATGCTCTGTTTTGCTATTTCTTTTCCTTCTGTTTTTAAAGATGGCCAGTGGGATTTGACAAATTATCACCTCTTAGACCTGGGCCGGCCACATCATTCGATAAGGTGCATGACAGTGGTACATGACAAAGTCTGGTGTGGCTACAGGAACAAAATCTATGTTGTTCAACCAAAGGCCATGAAAATAGAGGCAAGTTAAAATGGTGTTTAAAGTAATGAAATGTTATATTTTAATCCCATCTCATGCTGCAGCTCAAACTCCAGCGTAACTCCAGAGAACAGATATTTGTTCATCAGTATAGACACAAGCAGCCAAACAAATTTGTCTTGGGAAATACTATTATATTTTAAGATGTTTTCATTGCTTTGGAAGATTTTAAGCCATGATGAGACAGTTCTCACTTATTGAAACCAATTTTGGGGGGATTCAGTTCTCCACTTCTAGCTGGCCAGGAACTGGAGAGTGTCCTTGTGTCTGGGAGCAGAGCTTGTACAGCTAGCTCCCAGCACATCCTCTACGTGTACGCCTCATGTTGTCCACCCGCTTGTAGCCTTCTCTATAATCTGTCTTTACATACTTTAGAGGTTCATAAGTGTTAATTTTCAATGTACTCTCCTCCAGTTATAAATAGTTGTGCATAAGGTGTGTAAGCTGCTGTTACTGCAGTGTTGTATGTGTACCTGACACCTCTCAAGTACAGGAAGTGGCAAAGGTTTCTGAAAGCCATTAGCAGGATTAATGCTTCAGCTTCTGCTGATTGGCCCAAGACATGGGCCAGACCTTTTGAGGATGACTGCTCAGCCCTTCTCAAAATATCAAGCACCCAGTTAATAAGCTCTTTTTGTGAAGAAGAGTATATATGGGGAAAATGGGAATGAAGGAAGTCGTACAACAGTGACATTAATTGTTTTGCTGGTGGATAGTGTGTATTTTGCACAGGTGAGTTTGGTTTGTATGCTGGAGCAAGGCTTGACAGAACTAGGAAAACCACTTTTTCAGCATATGTATCTTGTGCTGTGACTGGAGGACCTCATACAAGAAAGGGTCCGTGTTAAAACGGAGACAGAAGCAGAGTAGGCTGGGATAGGAAATGTAAATGCAGATCCAGTAGGAAACTATGGCTTTGAGATCACACTCTAGAGAAGGGAATCAGTGCTCTTACTATTGCTTTACCAGCATCAAAAGGTAATTGTAACTAAAATAAACACTGTATCTGCTTGTGATCTTGCAAATCAGAGGGTCATAGATGACTTAAGCAAATTGCCAGTATTGACAGTGTAAGAGTAACAGAGAAGTCTATCTTTTTCCTTTGTTTCATCTTCTGATTTAAAATCCAATCATTCACAGAAGTCATTTGATGCACACCCAAGAAGAGAAAGCCAAGTGAGACAGCTGGCGTGGGTGGGTGACGGGGTATGGGTGTCTATTCGTTTGGACTCCACCCTGCGTCTCTATCATGCGCACACCTATCAGCATCTACAGGATGTGGACATTGAACCTTACGTAAGCAAAATGCTAGGTAAGTTGATGAGAAAAAGTGTTGTATTCTTACACCTCTTGCTGTCTGGAGCTTTCTTTTCCTGTTAGGGATCAGGGGGTTCTCCCTGGAAGGGTGGGTGGAAGGTTAGTCAAATCCTGTCTATGAAAACTTGAATCTGCAAGTAGAAGTCTAAGTTAGTCTGCAAAGCATCGTGATAGGCCTTTTGATACAGTCTGTTGATCCTACCTGATGTCTAAGCTGTCCCTAAAAACTCAGAACTAATGAGGAAAAGGGTGGTTGGGTTGGGCAGGAATCGATAGAGACACTAAAGTGTTTCTCTTTTTTACTGTGCTGATGCATTTTTTTTTTTTTTTCAAATCTTAAAAGTGGGAAGAGTCTGTTACTTGCCTGGAAAAATTGCCTCTTTCATGAAAATACAAATGCAAAATAGCAAGTTTTTATTGCTATTGAAGTTAATATCCTTTCTGATTTATTTTTTGTTAATGTTTGTATAAGAGCAGTTTTACCACCTGTGTAACACAACAAATACAGGTAATCAGGCCATGGGAAATCCTTCACAAGTAACTACTGTGTCATTGCATCTGGCTGCCTTCTGCTCCCCTCCTGGTGCTGATGGATAAGAAATTAATTTTAATGGATGAGAAACCATTATCTTAGATCTGTAAACTCACCACTACTTTTTGCCTGTTTGGAAAGCTGCCCTGATGCCGTAAGCCCCCAAAGATTTTATTGTGCAGCATTAGGGAGCTGTTACACCTTTTGTGCTTTCTCACAGTTCATGTTAGTCTCTTTCTGTATAGGTTCATAACTTAATTAACACGGAGTTTTTTAGCCTTTTAGGTTATCTTTACAACTTAAATGTACTCCTCTACCCTGTTTCTGTTTGAAGTGGGAGGGAATTATTTGTCCGCGTGGTTTGGGAGTTGGAGTTAAGATTCTCTGTTATGGAACTAAAACTATTCTTGCTCATAATTTTTGATGAAAAGCATCTTTTGTTTTTAGGTACTGGTAAACTGGGATTCTCATTTGTGAGAATCACAGCTCTTATGGTGTCTTGTAATCGTTTATGGGTAGGAACAGGAAATGGTGTCATCATCTCCATTCCATTAACAGAAAGTAAGTAAAATATAAATGAATAGCACTGTGCAATATGCTGTAGACACAAAAAGAGAATATTAAGCGCCATTCAGATGCTTGCTAATAAAAAGAAAACTTTACTGCCTGGTCTGAATCTTTCAGGTTTGTACAGATTGGGCCTGTGTGATGTTTAGCATCTAATCCATGTACATGGTTACAATTACTCTGAGCAAAAAAAACGCATCTCAAATCTCCTGTCCTTCAATTTGAGCAGAGTTGCTGTGGCTTGAATGAGAGACGCTTTGTAGCCTTAAAGGTGTTATGTGCATCAACAGCACTGATAGTTCATTGCTTGTAAGAGATGGCTATAGTTTTCTAATTAATGTTATTTTTGATTGCCATATGATCACCAAAGTATTTTTTGTGTGTTTCGAGCAAGTTGGTATTGTTGCTAATAAAATTCAATTGGCTTTAGTTCTTGAGAATTCATTACAAAGGACTGGAGCAACAGTAGTACTGACAGTTTTAAAGGACATGTTTAAAGTTCCAGGAGTTGTAAACACATTCTACAAATAGGGCACCAACTTCTAGGTAAAATTCCAGTAATGTAAATCCAAGTATCTGCTTAATAACAGACCCCAAACTCTTGTCATAGGCTGAAACTACTTGGGGATGGGAGGGGAAGCATTCTGACATGGGCAGTTGAACCTTGGGAGAACAGTCCAGTTCAAGGGCAAAACAAATCTTAAATAGGTAAAGCTTGAGAAGAATCTGTGTAAAGTGATTGCATTTAAAAGTACAAAAAAACCCAACACTTGTGCCTGACGCTAACATTAACACACACACACAGACGTTTCAGAAAATAAAATATAGTACTTTGATAGTCCTAATTGTGCTCTTGTTACATAAAAAGTAGTACAGGCTGAGAGGTGAAATTTTAGGGGAATTTGATAATAGAACTCTTCATGTTGTACCTGCTTTGTTGAACAGCACATACATGCATTGTTTCTCATACTGTTCCATTACATTGTCCATGCCTTCAGTAAATGTCTTTTTTTGCATTGCATGAGTGTACTAAGGAAGTACAGACTTCCTATCGTGAATTTGAAATAGTTTAAATCATGCTTTCAAAAATTATAGCTCTTAATTTGCATCAAGCTTAACTTAATGTTTCCAGAGGAGGTTGTTTTAAAACAGTAGTGAACAGAAAAAGCTCCCTATTAAAGCTATTCCGTTTAATTTCAGTTTTTAGTTGTTCGTGAATTGGAACAACTGTTTGTGGGTAGCCTGATAGTGGGTTTGAACCCTTGTTACAAATAGTCATGGTTTTCAAAGGCAATTGCATCCTTGCATAAGGAATTGCATATCTCTGTTCCCTGGATCTCAGTAGCAGGGCATCTTCCAAATCTGCAGATGATGTTTCAAAAAGGCACTTGAAAACATGAGTTGTTATATCTTATTTTGGTGGCCTCCTGCCAAGGAAAGAGAGAAAGGGGAAACATTGCTAATCTATAACAAACTTCATAGTGATAAAGCACATGAAAGTGACAGTGCTTTCGTTGTCCATTTTGTACTGAAACTTTTATAACAAGATGCTGTTCTTTGTGACTTTTTATTGAATCTTCTGTAATTAGGTATTTAATGGTTTTAGGAGCTAAAATTTTAAGCTCTGCTTATCAAAAACCAAAATACAAGAGTGGTGGGTTCTCATTAATCCTTCTCCTCTACTGTCATACCTATCCATTTCCCCTTTCCTCCTTTCTCACTTTAGCTGTAATCCTCCACCAGGGACGTTTACTGGGGCTGAGGGGTAAGTGCAGATCCTGAACAAAAAAATCTATTTTCAGGCTTCTAATAGCCACTTCGAGGCTGTTTCCCACACTTTATAGATTTACCCTTTGTATGTTCCTAAATGTTTTTCCACTTGCAGTTACTGCATTGCAGCAGTTTTATGTTTGCTAAATGGCCACCAATCTGCTCAGCAGTTTAGTATATCATCCTGTGTTGCAGCTGAACTTTCATACAGACTTTGTTTTTCTTCCAGCCAATGTGATACCATATCTTATAACTTTGTCATTAATCCACATCATTTACTGTCTTGTTACAAATCACTGTTTCTTTCACTACTTTGATAGTCTTTGGAATGGAGATGGCTTGTATGTCTAGCATGAGTACTTCTTTGTTTTAATGGATTTTAAAACTTCTCAGTAAAAACTAGATGTAGAAATATAATAGGGTAGCTCCTTTGTGCCCACAGGTGGCTATTTTTAGAGAATTTTTGCTGGCAAGGGGGATACCCTATGATTAGTTGGAATGGAACTGTCTTTAATTATATGTTTAAGAACATTGAATTTGCTCATACTGAAACACATTAGAGGTACTTATTTTCTATGAAAGATACAGTCCTTTCACAAATTATTTTCTTCCAAAAGTAGGATATTAAAATCTGGTGTTTATGCTAGACTAATAAGAATCCTGCTCCATTTTCTGATGTACTTAAAATAACGAAGCATGCAATCTTTTTTCTTTCCAGCTCTGTCTTGAATTGGCATTGCTGCCCTCCTGTTTCATTTTTATCTAAGTTGGCTTTAGCTTTTAGATGGTACCATAAGGTTTCTTAACAAATAACCGTTTCTGTAATTTGTATTTTCAAGTAGAAAACACTTCTCTTCTTTTTACAGCTAATAAAGCAGCAGCAGGCTCCGGAAACCGTCCGGGGAGTGTAATACGTGTATATGGCGATGAAAACAGTGACAAAGTGACTCCGGGAACATTCATACCATATTGTTCAATGGCACACGCACAGCTTTGCTTCCATGGGCACCGTGATGCTGTTAAATTTTTTGTCGCAGTACCTGGTGAGGTTTTACTACCATTCTTCAAATGAAGTTTCTTTTTCACCCTTGTTTGCTTAGTTAAATGTACTGTTCAGGCAAAGATAGCAAGTGTATGAAATCATACATTCAGAAACAATTTATTCTGTTTTATTTACAAGAGTTGTCTGATTCCTAAGTGCAATTTTGTTTAATGGGAAGAAAAGGGTTGGTCACAAAGAAAGAAGTGCTTTGCTTCTGGGAAAAAGTTACTGTGATGAGTGAGTACTTGCCTGTTAAGATGACAGTCAACTGCCAATTGATGGAAGGTCTGATTTAAGAGCCTGCCATCCTGCAGGAAGGATGAGCTACTAAGGGAGAAGCCCCTAAAGGAAAGACACTCAGTTGCAAAAGCTAAGAGTTTCCTAGAAGCTGCAGTGCTGGCTGAATACCCCCTCAGTGCCTGTATGTACCTTGTGTGCTGGGAGTAAATGACAGAAGTTTGCTTAATGGGATGATGTGTGCTGAATCATTTCAGTTGTGCATCTGAAAGTCGTTAAGTCTGTTTCAATGTCATTCTCTAGATCTGCATGCCTGTGCTGTCAAATCTATCCAGGGGCATTTAATTCTCTGATTTCCATTGAACTGACCTGAACAGATTCTTCATCTCTATAGAGAGATGAAATTGGAACAAAGCTAGCTTGCTGTCCCTCGCTGAAGAGATACTAGAATCAAAGTTAAGTCTATCATTAGGCATGAAGTATGTCATCCAATGAGTAAATACAGATGGTATTATTCTGTGAGATGTGGCATAAAAATGTGTTCTGTTTTTAATTCAGGTCAGGTTGTTTGCCCACAAAGTAGTGGTGGAACAGAACTAACAGCTGATAAACCAGCCCAAGAGTCCTTCAACCAGAGTCCCTTAAAATCAATGTTGGTGATAAGTGGTGGAGAAGGATATATTGACTTCAGAATGGGTAAGAAAACGGACTTTAAAATCAGTTGTAACCTCTTCATACTGAAAAGTCATTAACTGTATAAACTGTATAATAACTTCTGTTGGGATTGCAGAGTGCATTTGTGTGGTCAGTCAGTATATAGTCTGTACTAAGGAAGTGCGAGGATAGAAGTATCTTTATGTTCTCTCTCACACACATACCTCTGCAGCTTCTCCTCCTCCTCCTCCTCCTCCCAATAAACCATGACCTCTGAGATGACTGTGTAAAAAGGTTTATTTGAAACTCTGCTGTGGAACCATGTATCACCTTGCTGTTTGTGCTGTCAGTCTTACCTTGACAGGTTAGCCTTCTGTCTCAAACTGCTGGAAAACATGTCCTTAGTTACTTAAATGTGCAGACTGACTATAAAAAAAGTCATATATTATGTGAAGAACACTAAAACTAAAATTTACTCATTTTTGAGTGAAAAGTGAAAAAGTAGTTCACTGTTATCTTTGCATGCTCTTTTTATTTTGATCACTGCTTTTCTTGGATAGCACTTCTGCATGATCTAGCGCATAAGAGATTTCTTGTGTAAATACTTTTTGTTAATTGAAGCTTTTGGGGAAATATAACAAAATGAGAGTGGTTGTGGTTCTGTGCTTAGAATCTGCAGCTGGAGACTTTGACAAAAAGTGCATAAAAAGGAGTTGCAACTGCTAGACCTTGTTTTGACCTCTTGCCTAAATTTGTCTATAGTGTGTTTCAAAAAAACAAACAACAAAAAACCCACAAAAGCCACTACAAAGACAAACCCATGAAGGCCAGCCCGAATTCTGTCATCCCACTAGTCAATGAAAAACCAGTTCCCGCTGGTAACCCCAGCGGAGTTACACAGACAGCAGCACTTGAGGCAATTCTGTGCCGCGCTGTAGTGAGTATTAAAGATCCTGCACGTATTCTGAGCAAGCTGGTATAACCACATACCAAACCTGCGTTTTGCTGTCCTCGTGGCATGATGCAAAGCCATGAACTTAAGCGTCAGTACTGCAGCTGCATTAGCTCAGCTATTACCACATTAGTGCAGCAAACTGGCTCAAGAGCAAGTTTAGACTATTTGATGTTCATGTTCTTCAGACCTCCAAAGTAGTCTAACCAGAAAACCAGCCAAACTGTGACTTGAAACCTTCCTGAAGTTGTAGGTCAGTTCCCATTTCATCTGATTAAACTGATGTTCTTTGTACCACAAGACTGCCACTGTATTGATGTTTATTACTGTCTACGTGCAGTTTTATGTAGTGGTTAGTCTGTCACCTTTGATCCATGTCAGCTCATTTCACCAAGAGTTTAGACACAGTTGCAAACCTGTTCTGCTCTTTTGAAGAGCAATAACGGAGAATAGGCTTAAGGCTGTCTGGTGCCAGTGTGTGCAGAGTTGTGACAAGCTACAATAACTAGAACAAGAGGAGGGAAGGAGGAAAGGTTCGTCGTATACATGGATGTTGCATTGTCTCACTTGTGCTCAGTTACTGCTCTTATTTCCAGAGCACTTTATCTGGCTTATGTCTTTATGCTAGCACACTTTCTTGTAGCATAACCATCTCTGTTTCTGCCTGGGAGAGACTGCGAGTTTGCAAATCAGGTTGTCACTTCTCTGTCTCAAAGAGCTGCAAGTAATGAAACATGTAGAAAATGGTTACTTAAACTACAGTTAACTTGGAGGGTTAGAACTGTAGAATATGACCATCAGAATAGTAGGCTCTGAAATAATTATGAACGGCTTTTCAGTTTGTAATGTATATATTGACAATCTTGAATATACTTTCATATGAGCATATAGCAACTACTGTTGTTTATAGTGTTTTCTTGTAAACGTAGATGTTGCTTGTCTCGCTGCATTTGGTGTCAATACTGCTTTTTATTGTCTGTCTGAATCAAAGCTGTTGTTTTTCAGGTGACGAGGGTGGAGAATCTGAACTCCTTGGAGAAGCTCTACAACTTGAACCTTCTGTAGCCAAAGCTGAGAGGAGTCACTTGATAGTGTGGCAAGTAATGTGTGGCAGTGAGTGAGCCTGTAGGATGCAGCTGGAGACCTTAAAAAAAGAAAAAGGAAAAAAAAAAGGAAAAAAAAAAAGCTTCTGCATGTTTTTTTATTTTGTGAAACCTATTTCACTACACGATGTTGAAGCATTTCTTTGCTGTTTAACTTTATATTGCAAATCTGTCATACCTTTAACTATACAGGAATTAGCTTGTGCTGTTTTACTGCACCCGTGTTACATGGAACAGTATAATGAAATCAGATCTTTCTCAAAACTGGTGTGCACACCATAGTAAGCAACTGAGACAGTTTTACTGTACCACAGCAATCTAATGTAGTTCACTTCTTTGGTAGTCTCACTTGAGTTCAGCTTTATTACAACTGAGCTTCATTTCACTGTATAATGCATTGGGTAAAACAGCAGAGTTATTCCCAGAGTATTAAAAAAAATGACAAATTATAAGATGGATTATTAAAACTCATCCAAATATTCAGTGAGGGCTAAAGCAAACTGTAAATTTCAGCTTTTGTTTTCAAACCTGGAAAATCTTGCTTACGTAGTGTATATGGTTTAATTTGTTACATTCATCTGAATTTCAGGGGGGGAAGAGGAAATTGTATAGGAATTAAGATTACAATATTTAAATAAAATTACATGTTTTCACTATCGAACTTCAAAGTTTGAGAACTGCTGCCCTCAATAATGAGCAATTTTGAGCATAGTGTTTTTCCATTTCCCCGACATGGAAGCACTTGGTTTCCAAAGGGTATTCTTAGGATGATTTAAATTTGAAAATAACTGTAAAATTCTTGAACAGGGGATATGTTTTGTTCTTTTCTTGTCTTAACTCCTTATGTCCTAAGCACTAGAATGATCTTCTCTGCCTAGCTGGTCAAACTCATGAGGCACTACATGTGTGAAGGTTAGAGACCTCGATTAGAGCATGAGAAAAGACTGAGAGTGTACAGGAAAAATGCATTCTGCCCAAGTGAGATTGTAAAGGAACTTTAGTGCCAGATAATTAGGTACAAAATGTATTTTTTGGTAGTTGCATACCCCAGTTTAGTTTAAAAAAAAAAATAATTAGTGACAATGTTAGCAGGTAACACTAAGATTGAGTAAATTGATGAAAGTCAGGAGACTCTAATATTAGGCTGACATTCTGTCTACTCACCATCTATTTTTTTAACCATAAGCGTGAGTTGAAGACTGTCTTCCTTTTACATTGAATTTCCTACATTAATATCAGACCTAAGTTAAACACTTCTTGATCTCTGTACTTCAGAATATTTTAAAACCCAGATTTGCTCTTTCATTTCGTCTCTGTAAAGTAAAAGTTTTGAGGGGTTTTAACAAACATCCAACATTTACCCCCAAAAGGCTGGGACTGTTCTGTTCAGATTAGCAGAGAAATTTAGTAACTTGATTATGTGAGAGAACTGAACAGTTTCAGAGGACTAAATATAGAAACACTTTTTTAAAACTGCCTAAACATTTTTATGCAATAGGAGCAGTTCTGGTCTATCAGGCAAACATGTGTTTATATATTTTCTTAATTTTTTAAATGAACACATTTAGCTGAGGTCTATTGTGTAAATATATATTTAGGCAGCTTTTTCAAATGCATATCATAGCTGATAAACCAGAAAAACTCCATCAGGTCTATTGGTTAGATTTATATGTATAAATACTTTTTAAGCGACATATTTTGTACACAGCTGTTCTCTCGTAAATATGTATTTAGGACATGAACTATGTAGTAAAAATCCTTATTAAAGATGTCTAATATCTTGGTAGTATTTTTCTCTTCAAGATGCCAAAAGTGATGAGAGCATGTTGTTCATAATTTGCTTTCCAAATTCATCTTTAACGTCACTCCTAAAGTACTTTGGCTTAAATATAAAGTCTGGGAGCTTTTTAAAAATTATACAAATACAGAAAATAAACGGACTAAACAGTCTTTGAAAGACCTATTTAAAACTTAGACACGTGTGCTGAACCTGAAGCACGTCTGAATTAACTTATGAAATTGGATGTCTAAGAAAAATGCTGTCTAAACTTTTACTGTTGTGCAGAATCGTCACTGTGAGTGGTGCAGTTTCATTGCTTCTCCTGCCGTTTTCTTAAATTTATTTTTTTTTTTCCTCTTTTGAAAACACAGTCTCCAAAGCTTTTATTCACTGGTTGATTGTCACATTCTCATGTTCTCAGAAAAAAAGCGCACAATTCTGTTCCTTGGTTCTTGTATAGCATTTTAGTTTTCATTAGTGATGAGCCGTTTTCTCTGAACGGCTCTACTGCTATCAAATAGAGCAGTTCAATCTGGCAAGTGCGTACCTGGTCTTTTGCCAAATGTATCTGGTCCACCGTGCCATTTTCGTCACATCAGTGGGCCAACTCTTGCAAATTTTTCAGAGAATGATTGTTTCTGTCCAAAAGTGGAAGGGTTTTCAAGAAAACAATAGGTTAACTATGTACCACTGTGGGTGTAGATAAAAGGCTTGTGCACTTCTCTGTATTTCTCATTTAAAAACTTTATCCCCTGTCCTAAGGTACAGTAGATTAAGCGGGTCCCTATTGTCATCACAGTGCACTGGGATTGATAAACTCTACTTAAGGTCGCTTTGAATGGTGAATAAAGCCCGTAAAACCCCAGGCAGTGGGATGACAATACACCCCTACAAATCCGTCTCAAGAATGTGTTTATGCATACACTCATGTGATTAAAGCATCATATAAATAGGAGCTAATCTCTTGATAGCTACAGCTTGTTAATAGTTTGGAAACATTTCGAGCACAAAATATGCAGCACATTACTTGCCTGGGTAAGGGTGTTTGCATGGTAAAGGTGAAACGCGTTGTATAAGCTGCTGCATTGTCCATTTCTTGTAAAGGTCTTCCTGCGTTGGATCAGATAGAGCTGGCAGAGCGTAGACACTTTATCATAGGCTGCCTTAGTAACAAACAAATGTTAAATCTGTTTTATTATACTAACTGTTCTAAAGAACGTGTGTCTTTTAAAATGCTGTGTAACTGAATATTTATTTCCATGTGAGTATTATAAAAGTTACCAAAGGATTAAACCTGACTTAGCACTCTTGTAAGCGACCCTGTTGAGACAGGGTCTGGTGAAGGCCCTGCTCTGTAAAGCAAGACACAGTAAACTCAAATACAGTTCTTTAGGGAAATCAAATGTTTTTCTAACAGGGTTATGCCATATTGTAACAACCTATGTTGCACCTCAAAGCATTTTTCTATACACTAAATGTCTCTCCCGCCCTCTAACAAGATTAAGTTTCCTTTATTAATTTTGTTGATGCACATTTCTCAATCTTTTAAACATATATTTTAAACATTTTATGGTCTGTAATTTTTGAAAGTTTTGTCTGTTGGACACTTTACGCTGAATTTTACTTGCCTCTGTAATCCGAGATGGATACTACAGCATTAAACTTGCTGTCTGTTAAAACTTGAGGCTTCTCTTCTGTGAGCAGAAAAGCTCATATAGCAGTGTAGTTATTTCAGTATTTATTTCTATTATTGAATCCATGGGGTTCAGAATGTAACTTTGTACATGAAATATATATAAATATGTATATGAAACATGCATCGGATTGGTGTGGTTTTTGTAGTCTCATGTTAAGTTCAAAGGGGTTCGATGCTACTAGAAGGCATAATAATTGGGTTTTTACACTGGCAGCCAAATAATTGCCATCATAAATACAGGTAGTAATCTACTTGAGTCAGCCCACAACTAGTGTGATCCTGCTGTCTCATACTGGGCCTAAGCAAAAGCTCGGAAGAAACGCTTAGTTTGCTGACCGGCTCCCAAACAACGCCACGCTCTCCTGGCCTCCCGCGTGGCCCACAGGATAAGACCCCCGGGGAGATCTGCTGACCTGCAGCTCTGATGAAATAGGCGTTGGCACTGGAATTTGGGTTTCAAGTTTTCTTAACACTTTACCAAAGATTCATCTAAGCTCAAACACACGGTCATTGGTTACCGCATGGCAAAGGAAATCGTACTTCTATAAGGCAGAAGAATGAGGACTCGGTGATGGGAGATTCCTTCCTGCTGCAGAAACAGAACGCTTGGCTAAAGCGAGGTTTTAATTTTTTCCTGGCTCATCTGCCACTTTCTAACCACATTTGTCCCAGCAATTTATCTGGATTAGTATGTCAGGAGTGGCTGTGCCGCTGAAAATGTTTGGTTAACCCTTGTGAGGAGGGGTTGGGGTGGCCTGTCCTCGCCGTGCTCGGGATGCAATGCCCTCCTGTCCCTTGTCTTGTCCTGCCCTGCCTGTGCGAACGCGCAAGCAGATGTCACTCTTGCTTCTCGTGGGCAATAGGGAGGGCCTACATGAACCTGTTGCTTTTGAAATACCTCTAGGATGCAAATACTTCCTGTTTGCACGTGCAAACGCAGGAATCATCCATGGCTCAGAAGTGCAAAGGTGCAGTGTGTCCTGTTCAGTGTTGTACCTTGAGATGTCATCATCTTGGTGCTTACAAGAAAATAAATCTTTATGCTCATTTACGGGAGTTTTCTCACAAGATTTTTGCCTCTCCAGAGCAGGTGTACTGACAAACTTCCCTCTCCTCGGCAGTGTTTATTCTCGGGATGTGTCCGTTCACATGCATGTCACATCATTGCACTGTGTACGTATTAAATAGAAAGAAGCTTTGTAAATCTTTACTCTGGATGTGTTTGAGCATTTCTGGCAGCGCCTCAGGTCTGTGGGTAAGTAATTTAATTTTTCAGATCTTGTATTGAGAGAAGTGCTAATAGAATAGTGAACTAGGTTAAGGTGTTATAAATTATATTTGGAGACTGAAGCTTTATGGCCCTGTAAATACCCCAGGCCCTTCTGCAGTGAACATGGTGATAATGGGAAAAGCACTCCCACTTGCTGTAGCAGATACTGAAAACATTATCATGGTTGTATCAGTATAGAAAGAGGTATTCAGAATACATAAAGTGTTAATAATCACACAGGAAGTGAAAATATTTTAATGTTAATGGTCTTTATTGGAAAATACTTGTTTGCTAGAAATTAAACCTCAAACTTATTGATACGATTTTCTACAATGGTATAGCAAACAAGAATTCTTTTTGCCTTCACCTCCCTTTTTATCATCTTGTAATCTATTTGAAAGCTGTTTGGGCGATACAGTCTGTAAATGTTGTTTAGCACCATGATGATCTCTGATGCACGAGTTTAAGCCTACCGTAAAAGAAGCTTTGAGGGGCTCTCGTGGCCTTGGACCATGCTCTGATTCATGGCACGGTGTTTGGGACTCGTTGCAATTTTGCGTGGTTATAGTTAACTTCTTAAAAAGCTGTTTTGAGGTGACAAACCCAAGTATGAGAACTGTTTTCCTGCTTTACAAAACACTGAAGCGATGGTGAGAAGGGAGCTGACGAGAAGCAATGTGGATTGTTGCTTGTGACTGTAAACAGGACGGAAAGCCGCAGGCCTGGGCGCAGTCCGGTGTGTTTAAACACAAGATGGTGCTCTT